AAAATACTTATCAATAAAATACTTAATATTTTAAAAATTTATTTATGAGCATAAAAAGAATTGCTTTAATAGAAAATGAGGTAATTAACTAAAAATTAATATGATTTACATACCTGTAAAAATCCAAAGAATAAAGAAATAATATATTTTTAATAACTGAAGTTTATTCTTTGAAATCGTCGATGAAAGTGACCAAGCTTGGGCGAATTTTCACCGACGATTCCGCGTCTTTGGATTACAGGATTTTAGCCAATCAAAATTTAGAATTTCTTAATGAATAGCCGAAAGTTGTAAAAATTTTCCAAATAAAGATGATTAATTAAAAACAGAGTGATCACGTGACATAAAAATGACCGCCACGGTAATTGAGTAAACTTGAACACCTGGGCTTGACTTCAGACCCTTAGGCATTCTTAACAAAAAGACAAAATCACAAAAGAGATTAACACTATTACGCAATTATTTGATTATCATACTTATTGAACATCTGACTCTAAAAACTCATAGGTAAATTGTTTACCAAAATACAATAGAAATCCATTAGCTGGTCATGCCAATATTTGTAAAAGAAAGTCCTTTTTTTCACTTGTACAAAAACTGTTTTATATTGAATAAACAGGAAAACCTTGGGTGACAAATTGAATTCTTACACTGTAAAATACTTGTACTTTTTGTTAAATTCTGACACTAATTATTCAAAGTCAATCTGTTTTCTTCTTATACATGTACGAGTTTCTTTTCTTAAACAAAATACATATTTTACTAAATAAAATGAAAATATATACAATTTATTGAATTTATTACAATTTTGTTTTATTAAAATGTATCTGTCTTCCTCATAACACCTAATTTTCTATTTTAATAAAACTTTGTGGGAAGACATCAGGATTGATTTTATATTCAAACAGTTAAGTAAGTTATTTTATGATAATTCTACAAGACTAAAATGGTAATAAAATGTATAAAAAAAATAAAAAAAAAAGTTATTTTTGGACATGACTTGAAGAAACTAGATTTCATTCATCACACTACGACGCAAATTAAAAATTGTTTTCAAAAGACATGAGATATTTGAGAACAAATAATGAATCGGTTGAAGTTGTTGTGTGTCGAGGAATTTTTCGATTCAGTGTATAGATAGTAGTCTAAGTTTTCAAGAGCGTACAAGAATAGAATTGTATATATAATCTTTGGGGGTGGAATACCACAACGTCATAAATAGAAATATCTTAACTATTATTATTTTAGGTTTTATTTTGAAATAATCGTAATGATTTATAAATTTTGAATGAGGGAAGTTTTTCATATCCCTATATTTGAATCTACATCGAACATTAAACGGTTGTGATTATACTTTATCTGTGTTATCTATGATACTGCTTCGTTAAAATTGGAAAATCAGATGTACATGGAAATGCCGCTCCAAAGGCTCAAGAAATTTAAAATGTTATAAAAATCATATCCATGGACACTGTCGCAGAATATAAAATGAATAGTGATCTAGAAGTCGTTAAAAATTTACTTGTGAAAAATTCTTTATATAGTATAATGGAAAAACAGTACTGAATTGTATTTTGTAATAGAAGTTTATAAAATAGTTATAATTTTGCACAGTTATGAAGTTTTGGTTTTACTACACATGAAGATTCATAATGTATGATACATTTAATGCACAGTAATCTTTATAGTAATCCTGGCGCTAAACATACTGCAACTAGTAGATTTAACATTATGTTCTTGCACGTTACAGCCAGTGAAGTTTATATTGGTGCGTATGTGACGCAAGTAGAGTTTCCAGGGTGTTTCTGGTGCACAGCACGATCCATCCGTGGAAGTCCTGGTGCATAGCATGTTGCTGCCAGTGGAAGTCCTGGTGCATAGCACGTTGCAGCCAGTGGAAGTCCTGGTGCATAGCATGTTGTAGCCAGTGGAAGTCCTGGTGCATAGCAAGTTGCAACCAGTGGAAGTCCTGGTGCATAGCATGTTGTAGCCAGTGGAAGTCATGGTGCATAGCATGTTGCAACCAGTGGAAGTCCTGGTGCATAGCATGTTGCAGCCAGTGGAAGTCCTGGTGCATAGCATGTTGCAGCCAGTGGAAGTCCTGGTGCGTATTGACGCAGCCAGTGGAGTTCTATACATTTTCCTTGTGTGTAGCACGTCGCAGCTTGATAAAGTCTGGTCGAATAGTATGTTGTCAGTGGCGTTATCATGATAAATTCTGGTTCACAGTCTGATGCAGCCAGCAAATAATTTACAGCGATACTATGGTATACAAAATTGATATATTTGTACATGTGTTTATTTTTAAAGGCTTGTTGAAAATTTTAATTGATTTTCAGAACTTATTTACTTTCGGCAAGAAAATTGAAGGAAAATGCTTTACGGCGAAAATCATGATGATTACTTAAGCTAAACAATCGTCATTTGTTTTGTTTGGAATGTAAAGATGTCGTTTTTATTTAAAAAATTATAAATGTATAGGAGATATACATGTTTGCGTTCAATCTGGCCAATGGTAAAATCAAAATCTATATACATAAAGAATAAGACATAAATTGTATGGTTCTATATAGTTAAAAGAATATACTTATGTTTGGGTCAATTAAAAAAAAAAAAATTAAATGAATTGAAGGTAATACAACTGTATTAACAGCGCATATTATGATGATTTACATCTGATGACATTTGTCATGTCTGAAAAATAAAATCTTAAAGACTTATAAAAGAAATATATGTATACGTTCAATCTTGCTAATGGTGAAATACATGTCAATAATATATTAAACACTCGGATATATGATTTGTTTAGTTCCTTATGTTTGAAAGCTTAAGATGAATGTTTTTGTTAATTGAACTAATACTTTTTTGAGATTCGATGTTATTTTATGATACTTATTCTTTATCAATTATAGAAAAAGCAACACGGACCTGAACAAAGTGAGTACGATCTAGTTTTTTACTTCCAGTACCAGCGTCAAAGCTATTGGTTGCTTTGTTACAAAAGCTTGTCTTAAAAAGGATCATTGTTCTAAACATATATTCAACATAAGAATTGGATAAACACTTTGAATGTTTTATATTTATTTGGGAAAATTTAGGTTACGTTTGCATTTACATTAAAATATAAATAAATAAATAAATATATTTTCCACCAGAAATTGTTAAACACACGTATGATCAAGAAAAATGCAAGAAAGGTCAACATTTACAAAAATGTTTAGCAAAGAATCCTCATATAAATGATCATTAAATTTAACTGCTTCTTGAGCTTGTAGAAAAACCAGAGCCCTCTTTCTTTATGTTCGAAATATTGGCAAGCAAGCGCTTCCATTCCTATATAGACAAGTGTTCTTGTTTTGATTGTAAATAATTTATGTTCGTTTGAGTGAAACGAATTAGAACATAAATTAATTTATCATATGTACTAGGAACACGTGCTTTTGTTTATTATGTGCTAATAAAAGCGGCAGTAGCTATTGGTCAGTATTTAAAGGTCGATACCTGTAGAACAGGTATTTACTTCAATCACGATTTTAACTCATTCGAAGGCTTTGCTTTGCGACATTCACACCCACCCACCCACCCCCTGATTTACTTCAACCTTTTTTACTTGTCTTTTGTTTGATAAAGAAAGCAATTGTTTTCATTACAAGAAAATTAAAAGTTTAGTACACAACGGATTAATGTCAAAGGTGGGAAACAATTTGCTTAGTCGCTTTAAATAATTTTATGTAAAATTTGATATAAATGTAAGATTGTTGTGTAATGGTACACAGTACCTACATATAGTCGAAATGTATTTACAGATAGTTCTAACTTACATTTATTTTGCATAGGTTTTACTTAAACTAGTCATGTAATTGTACATTATAATATATGGCCCTTACGTAAGTTTGTGAGAATGAGTCCGCCATTCATTTTGTTTACCTCGCAATTGCTGCGGACTTACAGGTTTCCATAGTTTTTTCAACATAAATCGATGTTGTTTTTTATCTATGGTTTTTCCTGGGCGGCGAGGGAAGCATAATTATATTCATACATGCATTATATTTCGTTTTTAATCGGTAAAGTGAGGACATATAAAAGCATTGTGTTAAAATGCATTTTTACTCTTATGTGTGATTAATAATATTTTTGATATATTGTAGAAGGAAGGTAGAGAATCGGTACCATCGAAGACTTGTTTTTGTAAATGTTTACGTCTAATAAATATTGGCAAGCAAGCGCTTCCATTCCTATATAGACAAGTGTTCTTGTTTTGATTGTAAATAATTTATGTTCGTTTGAGTGAAACGAATTAGAACATAAAATGTAGGTCAGATCCAGCATCAAAAGTAAGTCTGGTAGTGTGCATCCCCAGATGCACCATCCCTGCAAGTTTGGTCCAGGTAGAGCTTTTACTTACTTGAGAATGTGACATGACCTAAACCTTGGTCGAGGTGAGCTACATGTAAAAAGCAAGCAGTCTGTGTACGAAATCTATTTATATGCAATATCAAAATTAGCAAATTGTTGGACAATGAAGTATCAAGTCAATAACTATTTGTTGGCAAAAAAGTTTAACCTCGTCCATAACCTTTGATTTCCTTTAACTTTGGTTTTAATTTTTCACACGTTTTCCTTGTATTAAGATCTTTCTTCGGTACCACCAAATTTGATCCCTTGACCTTTGAATTGAACCACCTTTACAAACTTAACCGGTTATCTCCAATAATATTCTCATAAATTTCACATTTACTGCATGTTAGATAGAAGATTAGAAATGATATGAAAATCCATATATCGGGGGAAATATTGTAAAAAGTATCACCGTTCCTTGTTTGCCTCTACCTTTTGAATCTCTTTCAATGTTTCCGATATCCTGATATGGATACCAAATCCAAAATTCTATCTTTAAATTAATGCAGAGGACCAAATAAACGTTATTCTAGACTGCAATATGTTTAATGCATGTCTTTAGATGCAAGAAAACAAACACCTTTTGTACTACTTTAAATCCACTGGGGCATGTGGAGGATAAAAGCTTTTGTGTTTCAATCTGCAATTTCAAACCGAACTGCGTAAAAACATGGCGTAGATGTAAGTTTTTACTTCAGAAATAACGATATTGAAACCTTGAATATATCAATATGGTTTGCATATTTAATATCATCAGAAAAAATTTTTAAAGACTTTTATAACATTATTTTATTATACAGGAAACAAATTTATGATCTGAGAAAAAAATTGGAGTCGGAAAGCCACACAAAAATAAATATTTGTCGACAAAACCCCAGTAGAAATCAAAAGAACAAGGATCTAAGGAAAAATTATTTCAAATATGGAGAAGGAAGGCAATATCGATGAACTTGGGAAATCATTTTCTAGAAGTTCTGTTGCTAATAATGACAGCTCAGCTTCGACAACAACAGATGTTGAGTGTGTGAGCTTTTCCTCAGAAAAGTATTAAAAATTAAACTTGATATACTTCTGCATTTCAAATCTGCTCTTATACCATGATTATATCTGCGTTATCAATCGTCAACATATTCCTTTGGATTCTATCGATGATTCATTTTTCTTCCAGATTCACAGTCATTGATGCAAAAGATGAATATGACGACAATCTACAAAATCTGTCTTGGTATGATATCAAAAGTTTAAAAAAGTGTATTTTTTAATAACTTATTTCAATAAAATGTGAAATATCTTTAGGATTCTTTTTGATTTAAAAAAAAAAGAATAGCAGGGTCAATATTTTCCGTGTGAGTAAGGTATCCAATTTGCCTATGAAGGACAGACGAGACGTTCCTCAATAATATATATTTTTTTCCAAAATTTTGTCATTAAAGAATAAATACTTTAACATGTTTACTCACACAAAATCGAGATACCTTACCAGGCATTTGTGCGAGATACCAGAGGATGACATTTCTAATGTAATCCTTTAGGAAAAAAAACTTAATTTGCCAAAATCACATTTTTAGTGGTTCAGATTTTTAAAAACAATTAGAAATAAAAAAAATAATTAAAATGTATTTTTTCCATACATTATGAAGATATACTATAAAGAGATATTTGGGGAACGTATCGTCTGACCAAGATAATCACAATTCAATATCTGAATTCATTTTTCTTTTTACATAGCATGGCGGTTAGTAGTGGTAATTTTACTGTGGATGGCGACATATCTTTTCAAACGATAACATTTGACGAAAAAAACATTGAAAAAGAGTTAGGTAAGGTATTTAAAGGTCCTAAAAATTCAAAAGAAATAGGCAACACTGTATCTGAATTACAAAAGTGTGTAGAAGAAGAAGTACAGGAAGATATCTTTTCCAAACTAGCAAAGGTAGCCAATGCTCAAAGAAAATCGCAGAGAATGTTCCGGTAGCCGAATCTGTGGCTAAAACCCTTGGAACAATAACAAGTATTTTTCAAGTTGTCGGAGATAAGATGAAAGTGAATGCCCAAAAAATCCAAGAGGATGAAACATATGCACCCTTCGAGCGATTTCAAGATTCCGAGATTACATCAGAAGCATGTGGACTTGAAGATTTGTTTTACACAACACACGCGTACGTAAAGGGAATTCATAATCAGGCAAATGACGATTGATTGATTGATTGTATATTGTTTAACGTCCCTCTTGAGAATATTTCACTCATATGGAGACGTCACCGATGCCGGTGAAGGGCTTCAAATTTAGACCTATACTCGGCACTCAGGGCCATTGAGCAGTGAGGGTTCTTTATCGTGCCAACGCCTACCGTGACACGGGACCTACGTTTTTAAGGTCATATCCGAAAGACCCGTGACTTTCACTTCTAGTGCCGAGCGCTTGGCGAAGGAACAGTCACTACCTTTGTTTACGTCTTAGGTATGACGCGGCGCCGCGATCGAGGGCAAATGACGAAGAAATAAAGACTCTTCAGGACAGAGTTCCGATTTATAAAGGTGTAGAGTTTCTGGGAAAACTAAAAGCAAAGATAGAAAATCTTATGACAAAGCCAGACATAAAGTCTGTTAGTCGTGCTGTCGCATAAATAGATCTCTACGCACGCCTGGCAATTTTGAGAACATTAGTTCTATGGCAACTTTATGCAATAAAGAAAAGTAGTAATGTTGACCAAGCTAGCACTAGTGGTGTTTACGCCGTTATCAAGGAAACCGACAAGACAGATTGCGAAATGATGGAGAACTTTACGAAATCAAGTTTCGAGAAAATTGTCTTCTTGACCATCTTCAACCCAACAGAACTTAGACATTTTCAGCATTTCATGCGTGTGAAATCCATAAACCCTTTTCGGCTAGATGAATATGATACCTTTTGCTCTAAAATGCATCTTATTCGCCCAGCAATTTGGCCTGAATGGCATATGAAGGTTGGATGGGATAGACAAGGATCAATTTGGGGAGAGAAAAATTTACGAAAAAGAGCTTGCAAGTTTCTTTTTGAAGAAGTTAAAGAACGAGAAATCGATAACATTTATCATATCAGGTCTGTGAAGTATCCTACCTATCACATGATTATGGAAAGTGGAAAACTCGGGTATTGTGGGTCTGTAGCGGGGTTGCCTGGCCCAGAAGGAAAATGGAAAATCATCAGGTTCATTGAAGATAGACTGCCTTATAACGTAATGTCTCCCTTGAGTAGGCCTTGGTTTCTTATTTACATGACCTCCAGTCCAACGGGGCATGTGAGAGGAGCATATGATTTACAGGAAATACGTTCCAAAGGAGTCTGGCAAGTCATTGATGCTGATAACGAAAGATAAAAAAAAAAATTGAAAGTGCGTTTACATGAACTATACTTCAAAAAAGTTTGATGTCTTTATTGCTGTCATTATGAAATTTGTTAATATCAATTAATTAATGCATAAAATTTGTACATTGCGTTTATCAATATTTTAATATTGTGTTATAATCATAATAAATGCTATCAGTGCTTACAGCAACCTCGTTATAAAGTTATTACAAACTTTAAGAGATAAGATACAATAAGATCCGTGTCTTCATTTGACGGACAAATATTATTATGTTTTTACTCGACCACTGACAATTTCCAATCAGACTTGGTGCAAAGCTGAATCAACTAGTTAACTTGAGAATGACCAAGATATGCTATGTTAATTAAAGTATACCGAGAACTTTTGCCGTATCCTATTATTTAAGACATTAAGTGACACTTAAACATGTTAAACTCACTAAATACTTTTACAACATATACGTTCTCTTTGATACAGCGTTTAGGAAAAAGACTTTAAAGTAGATTTTTAGCATTTGAGCTGATTATTTTCAAAACATTCTACATGTACGTAGAAGAGAGAATTTATGTTCATAGTTTTTTAGCAATTAAAAAACACCAACCGTCTTCATTCTTACGCTAATATCCCATTGAATTTGAAGTATAAGATAGTACAGAGTATATCATACCTTATTTATGCAGCAATTTACTATTGTCACCTGCATATCGAGTTCATGTCTTCAACTTTTTTGATAAGATGTGCAAAACTGCATGCTCTACGTTCATGGATGAATACATACTAAACGAGACAAGTTATTGGCAAATAAGTTGATACAATGATATCAACAGTCTCGTTAAAATTCAAAGCTGCAAATTCTGTGCATGATAAAATGACATTGATAGCAAAATCAATAAGTCAAATGTTGACTGACTTTTTATGTAAACAATTTGTTAAGTCGCAGTTAAAATAAGTTGTCAAAAGGTCCTTTGATCTTGACCTATCTTTTCTAAAATAAGAACTGAGCTCCGTTTTCAATCAAATAAATTTTGTCAAATCTAATGTTTTGATATGTAATAGTAGATTATAAGAGCTATTCAACTGCATCAAAAACTTTTAGCCTTAAATTTTCCTGTGATATTAACCGTCTATTTCTTTAATTTGACATCTGCTTGACAATCTGACAAATCCTTTTTATAGATATTTATAAATTTTAGGTTGTTGACAATGTTGAGCGCGTGAAATCTAAATATAGTTTACGGACATCATCTTGTATGTAGTGTAGTATTAGAGGGGTAAGTAAGAACTCTTGTGCATCCGTTTCGGACTTTATTTGCAAAATTTATTAATTTATAAGTATAGATGTTATACCATATAGAGGCCCTATGTTCCACCAGGAGCCAAAAGGAACCATGAAAATGATACCATATAAAATAACTTGCAATTTGGACAGTTTACCTTTTATAAACCACTTTATGCCTTACAATTTAATTTCTGAGTAGACAAAAGACCATTTTCCTTCCTAAAATGAATTTAAGATTTGCTGTGCTGTAAGGTTGAATTCCAGTTGAAAAGTGTGATATATAGAATTTAAATGATACTGATGCATGATTGATACTTTAGGATATTATTATGAGAATTTCTAGGAAGAAATTGAAGTCAAACAGTTCAGACGTCAGTGGTAGTGATAACAGTTTATAGCCATTGGTCAGTAGCGTTATTAAAGAAGTAAACAAAGCTTTATATTGAGCGCCGTTGTAGGCGATCAACAACAACGATTCCTGCGAGCCGACGACCACGGAATCAGATACGATGATAAAATGGCTACCTCCACACCAAAAGCTGCACCGCAGAATGTGACAGAACTAATAGATGTGTCAACTAAACTTGTTGTGCTGCAGAAACAAAGTGAGTCTACCAATGAAAAGTTAAATATCATAACAAGTAAGCTTTCAGAACTAGACACTATCGAAACGAAGCTGCTAGAGATGGAGAAGTCTGTAAAGAATCTAAATACTTGAGTTGGGAGACTAGAGAACAGAAATTACGAAATTGAAGAAGTGGTCAATTTTATGTCAGACACGTTTGATAATGAGAGCTGCCGTATGACAACATTGACAAAAGAGATTCAAGTGCAAATGAAAGATCACGAGAAACAAATACTGGATCTACAAAAACACGTGTCAAGTATAAAAGAATTAAATGGAAAACGCCAAAAAAAGAGAAAAAGGAATCTATACGGCACTCAAACATGATAGAAAATATGTCCAAAAACTTGGATCAGATGAGACGGGATGAAAAGGAAATGGAAGAGCGATTAGTGGATCTTAAGTATCGTTCAATGAAAATGAATCTGATTTTTGAAAATCTGGGAGGTGAGATATCTATTACAAAATACGATGTTTTCTAGCAAATGAATTAAACATACAACATGAAGTTCAGTTTGCAAATGGGCACAGATTTGGACGACACAGCAGAGGAAGAAATCGTCCGGTTGTCGCCAGTTTCATATATCAGGAGGATCTTGACCTTTGTTTACATCTATCTTCATTCTTAAGAGGGACACAGTTCCGAGTCTACCAGCAGTACCCAGCAACAATGGCGGGGAGGCGTCGCACATTCATTCCAATCATGAATAAATTCTGGAACGAGGGATCTCGAGTGAAACTTGTACGAGATCGTCTTTTCGTTAATGGTGTGCTCTATGATCCGTGTGATGATTAGTGGACGGAGGAACATACTGAGGAAGCCCAACCTATGGACACATATGCATCGAGGGCTGAACGCGAGCCGATAGCAAAAAATAGCAAAATGGTCCTGATTTAAAAAAAAGGCTAGAAATAACTTCTCACGGCAGATAATTATTATTTGGTCCAGCATAGTTTTTTTAACCTATTTCGAGTATGCTAAATCCGAAAAATATGCTGGCCTTCGTGAAAAATGACGTCAAAGAGGTCAAAATGGCGATTCAAAATGGCGGACATCCAATTTTTCTAATTTTTTCTTAATATCGTTCAAAAAGGAGAAATAATGTGTAATTATCTAAGTGAGTGTAATAGAACTGTAGAAATTATAATAGAATGCCAACGTTATCAGTTTAACTCAGAAAATTTAGTCGTTTCTACACTTAATTCGAATTTTCTCTGATTTTTTGTCTTTTGTTTCTATATTCTTCTTTGTTCAGGATTTTACATTTGCAATATCCATACACTGCAGATTTGTATTTTTCCCTCTACGTCGCACTATTCTACACACGAACGATAGCGCAGCTGTAAGTTAAAAGTCAAAATTTGATTGATAATTTATATAACGTCTTATACACTCGAATTTCGAAAAATACCCAAACTACATAATTATGGTTCGTTTTGCAGAAAATAAATTACAGTTTGTTTTTATTTTATTCTTGAAATAATGTTCAAATATGCACTGGGATTTGGAGGATATATTTTGTTAATGATTAAGAATTTTTATAACACGGATGTTTGATTTTTTTAATTACATAATTATGTACTTCTAATGTTAAGATATTTGACGACAATTCCGGTGACAATTTACCATTTACGTGTCTCACCATGCTTTCTTCATATAAAAAGTTAATAATATCATAAATAATTGCTTTTTTTAAAGACAATATGAAAATAAATAAAGCTACTCCAAGAGCAGTGTTCCCAGAGCATTAAGGCGAGTGAACATTCAGTTGCTGAAAATTCTTGATCTATTTTTAGTCCAGTGTGGAAAAAATACATGTTTATGTTCATGTGAAAGGTCTAGTGCAACATAACTTAGTATGATTTTTTAAAATGAATGACCACTACCAATTACAGGGCTTGTAATTGTTACCTCATATAAATCTGAATAAATTATAATATCCAAATATAAAAAAAAAAATATTAAGAATTATCAGTATAATATACGTACACTGTAAACCATAAATTTTCTTGATTGTCCAGCTCTGATTCTGTGTCCCTACATTTGTATTTTGTTATATTCTCAGTCAATAATTCAACTGCATTATTAAATATTCTCTATATATGTGAATAAATAACTTTGTATTGGACAGTGTTTATAAATTTTAAAAAAATTGAAATTTACAAAATCTGAAAAAAGAAAAAATGTTTGTGTTCAATCCCCCCTCGATTCTTGATACAACCTTAATTACACTATCTCAACAAAGAAGTGTGGATCTAGTTGCCTTTTAAAGTTCTTAAACTGTTGACTAGATCTAAATCAGAAATGGCTTAGGCCTATTGGTACGAAAGCTTGTAAGTGATAGGAATCACGAGTAATCTACAGGCGCTCTTAAATTTCGAATTTTTTTTAACACTTTTTCTCACCAAATGCACACAATGTGATTTTAGATGATCAAGTTTGAGAATTTTCTTGCTAATAGAATTACCGTTCTACCCTAAAAGACAATAAATCTATACGATGTCACAAATAAAGAGCTACATGTCTTGAACATCAGAGATTTTTTTTATACCCCCCTCCGCATGAAAAGCGGGAGGGTAGAGAGTAATTGGTATGTCCGTCTGTCAGTCTGTTACACTTTGGGGTACACATCTCTTATCCCCAACTCCTCTCATATCACTGAATGAAATTAGATGAAACTTTCACAGAATATTTATCACATATTGCCATTGTGACCTCCTATTTTACTTTTTGATCCGACACATACTTTGGGTTTCCAAAACATGGACACTGTCAGTATATTTATATGGGAGATCTGGGTATCATTTAGTGAGCTAATTGCTCTCAGTACCTCTAGTTCGTTTTGCACATGGTTTTGGCAAACAAAATAGACTTTTCACATTTGAACTTAAATGTGTTGTTCCTTGAGTGTTGGTTGATTGATTGTATATTGTTTAACGCCGAGTTGGCAATTTTTCAGCTACGTTTCGGCGGACTATCAGTTTAAATAATCGGTTTTTTAAGGATTTTGGATTCTCTGGCGGCCCCCAATGAGCTTAATCTTTTTCGAACTCCAGAGAAACGATCTTTTACATGCTAAGGGGGTTGTCATCCTTGACACAGGGCACCATTTTACTTGAGTGTTTAAAATTCCAATCTTCCGAAGACAGACTGAAACATATAGCAAATAAAGCTGGAATAGATGTTAAGGGATAATATTAAGTTCTTATTAGTGCTAAAAAGCTAGAACAAAGTGTTCAATGAAATCGGAAAAGAATTTCTTCAGTTATATTTGATAGTGTGCCGATCGATGTTGAGGTAGAAGTGTGAGTTGATAATGACAGCGATTCGGGACTGATTTAAGGTGAACGGGGGCTCAAAGGATTTGGAACACGTACGGTCAAATACGAAGAGGGGAATTTGGAAACTCTTAAGTCAAGTTTGTTTTATTTCCAGAAAAAAATGAATCTTTTAAGTATTTTTGTTCATATTTAATGGACTAATCAATATACCATATATACTATGTATATAAAAAACAAACTGTAATTTATTTTCTGCAAAACGAACCAGAGTTAAGCAGTTTTTGCGAAATTCGAGTGTATCAGACGTCATTTTTAATCGCCATTTTGAGATAAATAACACATTTCAAATTTAAACTACTATATTTTTGATTTAAAGTGATAAAATTAATGTTCTGTTGGCATTTTACATAGTTGTACTACGCTCAGTAAGATATTTACAAATCCTTTCTCCCATGAATATCCGCCATTTTGAACCGCCATTTTGACTTTTAACTTAAAGCTGCGCTATCATTCAGGTGTAGAATAGTGAGATGCAGAGGGGAAAAAATACAAAAATGCAGTGTATGGATATTTCCAAATGTAAAATCCTGAACAAATGGTTAAGACGGATAGCTCAGTTAAGGTGTCCATGAGAATCAAAGCAATGATTGCTTAAAAACATTTCAAATATCTCTTGGTAATTATATATGAAATCAGTGTCTTATTCTTGAAAAGATGCTGAATTATTTACCTCAATATTTATATAACAAACGTGAAACTTGAAAAAAAAATATAGAAACAAGATCATCGGTGCTAAAAATGCTACAAGACTTAAAATTAGTTATAAAATAAAATTGAATCTTAGAGAATCACCCTTATTGACATAGCTATTAGGAGGGGCATTTCAAAAGTCCTGAGAACTGTTTAATAAAATATTAACCGTTCTACGGAAATTATTGAGTTTGATATCATTGGAAAGATCAGAAAAATATACACACATTGTGACGTCATTTTATAATTTTTATGACGTAATATCTCCGAAAATGACGTCAGAGTATAGAATGTTTAGCGTACTGAGAAGTCGCTTTTTCCCCACATGAGTCAATTTTAAAAGTGCTGCCAAAGGCTTATTTGATAAAATATTTCAAAGAAATTTTTTATTTGCAAAGAAGTAGATTGGACTATGGTACTGCTTATCAACATTTCTATATATTATTGTTTGGTTTGTTTACTAGCATGGATTATGTCCGGTTATGCTATCATCGACATTCATTCAAGATTTTAAGTTACATGAAACGACTGGATTTGCGGCCTTTTATATAATTTTCCATTGTATGAAATAAAGCATTTTCAGTATAAAACAGAAGTATTTTAATGCAGTTTTCAACAAATATATTTTGATTAACAGTACTCTTACTTTTACAAATAAAATGTACAAAAGTCTTGCTCCTGACTTGTTTCTGTGCGTATTTTTTCTTATTAATTCAACTTCGGTGCGCCAAAACGCACTACTGCTTTTAACTTTTGATCCAAAAAAGGTTTATAAGTTACATAGACTTGTAGAATGTTATTTAATTTCAATGAATTAGTTTTTGCGAATATGTGGAGGTACGGTAGGGATAGAACTGCGCCCGCACCAGTTTTGATTTTACGAGAAAATATGGGGCACACTAACCTTAACTTCTCTTAAGCCTTCATTGATCCCAAAAATCTCGTTAATATACCTGACGAATTGATGCCATCAAATTTTTTTTAACACGATCGTCTATTTTTCTCTGATTTCCAACTTTGCATTATTCTCACACTTAGGTCTGTTTTACGCAATATTTTTCAGCAAGATTCAATAAAAACATGCTGTTTGACAATCGCTGAAACCATTTCAGAACAAGAAGATCTCCAAAATAGACCATCATATGATAGATTGTAGTCCATGTAAAGATTCTACCAACTGACATTTGCGTCCGATGGTTTGCGCCCGAGTAATGAGCCAAAGTTGTTTTTTTTATAATTTACTTTGATGAAATTGTGTCTTTTGTTACGTCATTTTGATGGCCAGTATTGTAGCATGCGGAAGTATGACGTCATTTTTCGGGGTTATTAAGTCATAAAAATTATAAAATGACGTCAATATGTGTATATTTTTCTGATCTTTTCAATGATATCAAACTCAATAATTTCCGTAAAACGGTTATTATTTTTTTTTATTAAGGATGACGTTTACTCAGGTTTCAGAAATCAGAGAGGAAATTTTATAAAGCATAATATATTGAATCAAAAATTATTCTAAATGGATGAAATAACTAAGTTTTATCTCAATATCAATTAAAAAATTTAATATATAAGTTCTTGAAGAAAATATACGGGAACAAAACTCAATGTATTGCTATGCAGAGGAAATTCGGTCTAAATTTGTAATTTTTCATTTTTTTTTCAAAATTTTTATTCCTTGCAATAATAATCACAAAGAAAAGGTTACTTGTATTTAAAGACACCGTTTTTCAAATTTAGTTTGTGTTTAAGCTCATTAATTATTTGAAATAAAAGAATGCTATGAAATAAAGAAATTAAAAAAACATGTACAAAAACCACTGTAGTCAACATATCTCAATAATTTGATCAATGACCCAATATAATATTGATACCATAAGAATGAGGGTAACAAAAGTAGCCAGAGACTATAAGTAATTAAGAGTTCTTATCAGTCAGATTTTTGCAATATTTGATTAAAAATAGGAAAAAATATAAATATGACAGAGGAAATTCGGACTGTAATAATTATCACATTTATGGCCGAAACTTCACTCATTTCTTTAAATAGAGCAACTTTGTTCCATTGCTATAATATTTCATTATTTAAAGAGTTTTGTTGCATGTAATATTTTGTTAGTGAAGAAATAAATGGTCATAGTGTGAACAATTGAGGTATTTCCCGAGAAATGTTCTGGGGCCCCTAGCATTAAAACGAGGTCATTGACCTAGTTATTTGAAATTAAAATTTAAAACAAGAATCATAGGTGTACAATGTGCAATAGGTAGTTTTTCGTTCTTATCAGTGGAATTTTTAGTCATCTGAGTCAAGGTATACCTTAAACAGTTCTCAGGACTTTTGAAATGCCCCTCGTATGTTTACTTTTGTTTCAAATGGTATTTATACCAATTTTGCCGGGTATGTACATGATGTGTAAAACAAACGAGAAACAAGAAACGAGAAACAGTGGAGTGGAATGTAAGATCCGTCATAAAATACCCGATGACCTTTAAATGTCAACAAACGGGAACAGTTTTGATTTTTGTTTTGTTTAATAACAGATGCAGCCCGCACAACTCTTTGGCACATTTAACTAATACGTACAATGCTATTTTTTGAAAAAAAGCTAACTATATAACATTATTTATTATATAGAATAAATATACTTTATACACAATATATACATAAAATTATGAAGCAAATATCCATGCATAATAAGGATAGTTATATTTAGAAAAAAAAACACAGACATTTATTCTGACCTATTTACAGAAATTGATGTTAATGAACTCTTGAAAAATGCATATGTTAGTTTTAGATAATAAAAAAAAAACTAACAATTCAGAGATGACAACATTACAACATAATACGCTATATGACTCAAGAGCAACTCTCTGAGATGGAATGAAACCCAACATGGTAGTCATCAAACTATTTCAGAACTCGTTCTGATACGATCATCTAATGCCATAAACATAAACCAGGTAAGAAGATCTTTCTGTGTGGTACGGTTACCATGTCAAATCATGTCAAAATATGCTTAATTAGTAATAAAATGAAAATGAATAACAGCGTACATTGTACAACAAAAGAAAAAAAAATCTAAATATGGGATAATGCTCATCGCATACATATTTAACAAGAGAAATCTACATTGAGAATATACGCAATTCAGGTATAATTGACTGTTTGTCCCTTGGTTAATAAAGTTTTATGTACAAAAAATAATAAATCTATTTCAAAATACGATATAATTAGTATAGCTCTGAAAGATGCGTTTTTAATTGTCTCTTGAAAATTAAGTGGACTTTCTCTCCAACAAACACATATGTATTCTACTTGTATCGATTTTGTGTTTGTTATTACCAAGAAAATGTTTTGGACAAGATATTTCCTTCGAATGTTCAATTCCACCTTTAATATCTGTCTCTTTAAAAAAGAATTCTTCATCTTCATCTGTAATTTTTATGTCGCTACATGAAAAACCCACATCATAGATAATTCCCCTGTGAAAAGTTTCTGTTATTTCCTTTATAAAGGCTTCCACTGTTTGTCTGATTTTCTTGACGCATTTTTCATCAAGTTTCACGGTTTCATCACGTGTAAAAACCTGCAACTGGATGGATGTTTTGCTGACGGCGATAGCAAAATAATGGCCGGCATCTTCTGCCTTGTAAAGTGCAACATTTTTAAAAAAGGAATTTTTATCACAAACTTTCCATTTTTTTAAACACTTTACAACCAATCGAAAGAAGAAAAAATGGGGTAAATAAGACTTGAAAAAGTACAGCATCATTGCTGACTTTTGTTTTCCTTTGATTTCATTTTTACTGTCATCAGAAAGGTCGGTTCGGTTCATGCTCGGAATATAATACATTTCCTCCTTATTGTAAGTGCTTACATGTCTTCCAATTCTCGTAATTAGGCCAAGTTTGTCCATGTATTGTAAAATTTCATTTTTGTGATTTAAGTAAGATTGCCACAAGGAATCATGACCTTTATCAGTCTCGACACTAACTTTTGTATCAGCACAAGGTACACCACGACTGCCTTGTATATTTTTCCATATCTCTTCAATGTACTGTCCAGTAATTTTCCCAGTATTAACTAGTGCGTTTATGTTGTCTTTCCGAGCAAAATGCTTTTCGTCAGTTATAATGTACTTGAATGCATCAACAAACCACTGAACATCTATGATAATTGTATCCTTGAGTTTATCCACAGAAAAGTATAAGATTTTTCCTATTTCATGTAAGAAACGAAGAACATCATTGAGGTCATCTTCATCTATTGAAAGGTATTTTGCTGTTTCTCTGAATTGTGGCCTCCATATGACTTTTTTCCCATTTGCTTTTTCATTATTCAGAATTTTTTCAAGTTCAAACCATTTCAAAGGAACTTCTTCCCCCCAATGTTGTAGATTTTTTACAGTTTCTACAATACATTTCTTAACACAGTCAATTGTCATTTGTTGTTTTTGAGTCAATGCTCCAGGTGGACATTCTACTTCAAAATATCGGTATGGTGATATAAGCCGTTTTAAGGTTTGTTCTTTAGATAAACACGCTTCCAATTGGCTGTAAAATGTTTCTGATGGGTTACAAGTTCTGACCTGCTTAATAATAAGGAAATTAATAAATGTATTAAAAAACCAACGAAGGTAATTTAATAATGTTAACTTTCGAGATTATATTTTAATATAATTAAACATGAATTACGTAGCTTCTATAATTATCGGATATTAAAAATTAGTTTTCCCTATTATTTCCCTTTGTTCATTTTTAAACGTTGATCACCTATTATGACACTCTATCGCCGGGAATACACTCTGTACAAGTAATAACAAATTATACTCTTGACAGTAGTAATACTCATCAAATGATTGAGTGAAAACAAGTTGAAGTTTTATTAAGGCTTACAAAGACAATTAAAATCAGTATATGATTTGATTCATTTATGAATACAGCAGCAAAAGATTAAAGAGACGATGAAGAAATGTCTGCATGCTGTATTTGTATAACTGTTCGTTATCTCCATATCCTTCTTCATAAGGAAACACAGCAAATGAATCATTTGCATAGAGTACTTTAATAGCAAGTGCCAGATACACTTAATCCCTTCCAATTGGCAAAGATTTTAAGTATTTCTAAACAAATTGTATTCAAATTTCAAAGCATTTTTTCGAGTATTTCTTTAATTTTTTGTGTATACCAATGTATACATATATATTCTGAAAGCAGGCATGGTGTAGTGTCTGAAAATGATTATAAAATATCAATGTAGTTACCATAGCAACGAAATACGCCATCATCCTGCTGGAATTTCATTTATTGAAGAATGAGTGCCATTTTAGTTTTTTTCATTTTAAGTTAAAAATATTTTTAAAATATTTGATCATTTTATTGTTCTGTTGTAAATTATGCGCATGTCGTACATTTAAAAAAAACAAAAAAATTTTTTTAATATTTTGGCAGGACGGGTTGGGGTTGGAAGGAGATCACCTAAGTTAAGTTTTTTTTTACATATAACGTTTTACCACCGCATTGACTATGGCAGAATTGCTCAAATAGTGCGCGGCAAAGTTTAACTCAAGCTAGCAAGAAACTTTCTATTGTTATTGTATTCTCTTTCCAGCAGTGCAAAAAGTATTCTGATATTTGCAGTATTCAAGAAGTTATGAATGTTTTTTTCACACTATACCCATTTTTCACGTCAGATGCGTAGAAATGCGTATATACCATGAAAAGCTAGGGGTTAAAGGGTCAATAAATCATAAAAATAGCTACTTTCGGGTCGGAATGACAAAAAAGTTTCAATATTGGTATTTTATATGTGTTTCCATTCTATTTTTTAGAAAATAAGTGGTTTAAAATTAAGCAACCTGTATGTAAATTCAGATAGGTGTGGTCTTCAACTCGATATTTAGGTGTATCGTAGTACTATCAATTGACAATTATAGAAACTTCCGTTCATACATGTACGTCGACTTAATATAAGCTAGCGAAATTGGTATAAATGTTAACATATACTTTAGAGTTTTTATTTTATTTTTATTTTTTAGACATGTAACTAGTACAGTAAAAAGACGGAAATGGTAACCTAAAACAATCCTTTATAAAACAAGAGGCCCACGGGCCTTATAGGTCACCTGAGTATCATGTAACAACTTTCCAGCGATTGTATTTGGTTCGTGTTTTAATCCAAAGCCATGAAATTCACAAATTTTGAAGAAGGCACCATTGCTTATCAAAGGGCAGATTTCAAAGCATTAATGTATTTTAGTCAAAGTACCCCCCGGGTACCCCTGACCCAGCGGCCCTGAAATTATCTATTTTGAAAGAGGCCCCTTTCTTCATTATAAGGCCAGCATTTTTTAATGTTTAAGTTTAGTTATGAAATGAGAATAAAAAAAGTTCCGAAGGAGAAGGAAATAAAATTTTTTTGATAAATCAATTATTAGCATTTGTACGTTCTTTTTTTATGCTATACAAATAGGCTCCTTACCACTGGACACATAATGCTTACAAATAGGAAAGTAGAACATTTAATTGCTTATTTCATCATCTGCCAGTTTGGGTCAGTTATATAAATTTTGTGATGTTGGTCAAAATATATTTTAAAAAATCAATTCTTTAAAAGCCTTTCAATATATCTTCATTTTTTAAATATGTGTTAGGTAAATGTATACTGACATTGTTCTAAAATTAACATGTTGCCTAAAATCATAATTTCTATCATAAAACAGATAGGGAGTATTGGGGAGTAGGGTGAACATTTTTTCAATTAAGTTAAGTGTAAAATAATTTTCTGGCTTATACAAATGATACTACATGCCTGTATATATTTGTATATCCTTGCCTTTTAATAGTTGAATTTGTTTTTTATTTCTTCAGGTTATTGTTTATTTCTTCCTCAAATGGACTAAACTTCTCCCATAGTTTTATTCATTACATCTGATACATAATAGTGGAGTGACAATCCTAGAAAAAGATGCTTAGTTTTCGAGTTTAATGGACCGGCATACCCTACAGCTGAAAGTTATATTTTATAAAAGAGACATTCATCCTCATACATTTTCGCCCGGTCGTAGAGTTTTCCCAAGTCAAAACTTTTTTTAAACTTGCGATTAAAGTGAAAAGAGGGGGGGGGGGTATATAAGTCGTTTATTTTACTCGCTGATAATGTTCTTTTTCAAAGATTAATCATTGATATTTAAAGAAATACTAATTTGTGTGTGAAAGGAAAGCTACAGGTATCTAAATTGACAATGCAAAATTAATCAGGAATATTATCCCCCCCCCTTCTTTTAAAAAAAAAAATCTTATGTTTTGTTATAGAAACTGCGTTAATTTCAACAAAATATATTCAGTACAATTATTTCATGCAATATTAATAACGAATGTTTACTTAAGTGTTAGAAAGATACATAAGACAATGATTTCTGATCAAATAAACCGCAATTTTTAAAGACAACGTCGCACTAAGTCTGGTATTCTACTTGATCGAAACGGATTATAGAATCCCATCATGTCTATGACAAGGACTTAATCGATCAAAATATTGTTAAATATGTTAAATTGGCTTCTATTAATTAATAATATAACGCTAATATTCAGTTTGAATGTAAATCAATTAGCATTTGAAAGTCATTTCCTTTTTTTCAATTAAAAAAATACGTAAAGGACAAAGATATCACTTTTCCTTCACATTCTTGTTTGAACGAGGTATCTTGCATGATTGGATATTGCCTTTCTGCTTTATAAGCAATACAGATTAACGCAAGTATGAAACAGAAAGAGAAAACTGATTAAAGTATTTCATCTTAAAGACTGTCCATCACTTTACAGAAACTTTTTCATGTTTCCTTCGGAAATATATATAGTGTTTTCTACAGCAAAAACATGGACTTTTGTCATTATTCAAACTAAGGGATACATATTTTGTTTACGCATTTCCTCATTTACATGTACATATATACTGCCAAAAATTGAACTCTTTTACTATATGATCCTTTAAGAGCGGGGGTATCATATTTTGTCAGCTCACTGCTTACAGTACTTAAAAGTTTTCTTTTGAAACGACGTACCAGTAAGGAAGATATGAATCAAACGGAACCTTAAAAGCAATCCACTAAAGATATTGCTGGACAACTCATGGTTTATTCTGTCATAAGAAAGCTTTTTTGATATTTTTTTTCTTTTGAGAAAGAGTTGTCAGTTTTGCTTCAAGAATTAATTGTCTAATATTAATTTTAAAAATTGCAATAGAGACAGAAGAAACAGTACTATATACGCTATCTTTAACCAACCACAGAAACAACGAGGGATTTCTAACATTTTTTTTAGGATTTCTGATGAAATCAAAAAGATTACTGAGTATTTAGGCAATCAGCCCTTTTCAAAATTCAAAAATATAAAGTTTTCTGTCAGCAGATGAAAAAAGCCACGCATGACATGCATTTAATGTGAATATTGCCATTTTGCACTGCTCTAATTATTATCTACCCACCTGAAGTATCTTTTTAAAGATCGGCTATCTTTACTTTTACAGTGTAGCTCTTTTACAAAATTTCTACTTTTTTAGTTTTCAAATAAAATATATTCTTGAAAAAATAACGATAAAGATATACATGTACGTGTACATGAAAACCAATGAATAGAAATTACAGTATTACGTCATTATTTAAACTCTTCACCCCTTTTCCAAGAATTGCAATTTTAACACCAATACGTGTTTAAAATCTTTCAAAACCCCAAAATCTCTACAATGTAACCTGCTTAATTTATGAGTAAACGCTTATTCAAAAGTTCGCCAAATTAAACGTAAATTTTCAAATCATAGATAACATTCATTGAAAAAAAAATTTTTTGGCCTATTTAGACAGAGAAATGAATAATAATAAGACTTTAAATAATATGTTGTCCGTCCTTTGGATGAGACCGGAATACTGTACTTCAGTGTGAGAGCAAGGATGACCTCAAGAAGATTGTTTTACTAAAAAGCTTTTAAAACAGGGTCGAACAATTTCTTTATAATAAAATAATGAATCAGATGTAAAAGGCGTAATAAAAACATAACATTTTTTTTTAAAAAATGCGAAATGGTCATATTCCGTTTTCTTAGGTGGGTGGGGGGGGGGGGGGTAGGGGTGATGGGAGTTGTTGTTCTTCTTTTTATTTTTCTTTGCTTTGTGTACTAAAAATTAAGTGATTGTACGTAAAAAATAACGTACATTAGCATTAAATCTTTTAAGTTTAAATAAAATACTCTAAGACAAACCTTTCATTTTACAGACAGACAAACGGGCTTTCTTATTCAACTTTTCGTTCCTTTTCCATGAAATCAATATATTCACCGAATAAATAAAAATTCCTATACAAATATACATTATTTTCACGAAGTCCTTCATCTTTTCTTCATATGTACAATATTATGGTCACATTTCATTCATTGATCTTTGATCTCCATTTATTTTAAATTTTGACCATAGAATTTTCTACGACCGGGCAAAAATTATTGCTTGATAATATATCTGACCAAAAAAGTACAAATCAGCCGTAGGGTAGGGTGGTACATTAAAGTCAAATTTTTGATGGTCTTGTCACTCCACTATAAGCAACCCTTTTCTGAAGAATGATGCTTAGACTGTGAGCTATAACAGAGACCTAAACAATGTCGCTGGCAATATGCAATAGCTACCACAGGCAGTTGAAAACCTGGGGGACGAAAATAATTAACAGACAGATACTTTTGAAACGAATCTATAATTATCTCACCAGCATGTCATTGTGCAACAAAGTCATCAGCATTTTATTTGTCCTTTGAACGGGTGAAACGTTTTGAATGGCACTCATATAGATGATTTTTACACTAACCCAAACTATCTTCTTAGATCTAGCTTTATTTACCCGCCGTTTTATCTTAAAACCGGAAGTGCGAGTTCGTAAATTTTAAATCTAGATCCCGACTCAAATTTGACATCGGAGAGAAATTTTTTTAATTTTTTTTATTCTGAAAATTCAAAACCTTGAGCGGAGGATTTGTAAAACTGAAAATAAAATAAATCCTGCCCTTAAATATGTAATTAGATCATTAGTTTATTAACCAGGAGCAAAGGATAAGATGTTCAAAGAATACATGCATTTCATTATATATTAGAGCCCCACCCTAAAACAAGAACCCCTGACCCTGGGGCCATAAAATTCACAATTTTGGTAGAGGCACTCTTGCCCATCATAACTATGTACTTAGTTAGTTTATTTATGACCCAGGAGCAGAGAAGATTTTCAAAGAAGTCATGTATTTTCACTATATAATCAATAGAGCCCCGCCCTAACATCAGAACCCCTGACCCTAGGGCCATGAATTTCACAATTTTGGTAGAGGCACTCTTGCTCATCATAACTATGTATTTAGTTGGTTTATTTAATACCTAGCAACAGAGAAGAAGATTTTCAAAGAAATATTGCATTTTTACTACCTACTTATTTAGCCAAGCCCTAGCACTAGAACCCATGACCCTGGGGCCATGAATTTCACAATTTTGGTAGAGAACTCATTGCTGATTACAATCATGCAAACAGTTTGACTGCTTGATGTACAGGAGTAAAGAAGAAGATTTTTAAAGATTGCATTAATTTTAGTAGTTTTGGCCCCATCCCTCAGGCCCCAGGGCAACAGGGACCAAGAAATTCACAATTTTTTGTTCCCCTTTACCCAGAGATGCTTTGTGCCAAATTTGGTTGAAATTGGTTCAGTGGTTGCAGAGAAGAAGCTGAAAATGTTCAAATGTTAACGCACGACGGACGACGGACAATGCACGACGACGGACGAAAACAGATAGCAATAGGTCACCTGAGTTTACTCAGGTGACCTAAAAAAAGGTAACAAACTTTCTATCATCAGGTTTGAATTTCTTATTTTTGTTGTAATATACATTTATCAGCTGCAAATGAGGTTTCCAACATCAAGTTGGTTCAAAGCAAATAAATCTGCATACTTGAACAGTTTGAAAACGAACACAGGGTGGAATTTGTTCTTACCATCTGATCTTTATGGGAGGCAATAAGAATTATCGGGGGAATATTGAAATTCGTCGTGGAGTTTTTGATTGCTGTTGTGTCTTTAGGATTCTCCTGTGTTGTTCCATCATTGCAATATGTATTTACAGTTTGCAGCCAAAAATGGAAGTATTCTACAGATAATATACATGGCAATATTTATATCAACTCGAAATGAATTTAATATGAATATTTTTATTTTTTAAAAAAATATTTATAAAGTTATTTTCCCTTAGTAGGTTGATATGAAAAAATCACCAGGGACTGTGATTAATCATAATAATAATAATAATTTGCTTGTTACCATTTACTTGAACACAAATACAGCATAATCACAAGAATATGTTATTTTGTAATGGACAAGAATAAAATTTAATGTTAGAAATAAATCATACAGTGATAATAATATATTTCCATTTTAATTTTATTCTCTGTGATAACTCTTTGAAAGTTAGCGGAGTTGATATCTTGATAATTCTACCGGGATGTAAATTAGGCAGGTCGATAGGTCAGGAGCTAAAGAGGCCTGATATGCATTCAAATTTTGTGCGCATCTGTGTTCAACGCTAAGGAGGCCTGATATGCATGTGAATCTCGTACGGCTGCCTTTGTTTTTGACGTCAGTTGTCGAGGACTGTTAAAATTGGCATGGGAGTTCTTGTGTAATTTAAATATATATGTCTACATTTTTAAAATCTAAATCTACAATTTTATTTTACAATGAAATGGAAATATAAGGAATCACTGTCTAGTTAGTAAAGTATGCCAGGGACATCAACGATAATGGGAAACATTAGATAATTTATGTAAAACGGGCTTCGCAGGTTATGCAAATTATCCCATGTTTCTCACTATTGCTGATGCCCTGGCATACTATACTAACTAGACAGTGATTCCTATACTACATTACTGAAAAAATTCTCGTTTGAATATAATCATCCTTCTTTATCCTTTTGACTTGATGCCCAATCCAAAAATGTGGTCAGTTGGGAAAAAGGTATAGATATTTTGCAATATATTAAATATTTTCTTTTCTGTACTTATCAAGATATTTTGATGTTTCTTTTTATAGATTACTATGTACACAGGAAAAATGTCCACATGTGTTAAACATATGTTTGGTTTCACATGTGTTCAACACATGTTTTATACATGTAATACATGTGTGTAAATAAACACATGTAAAATATGTGTTTCATTTATATGTAAAACACATATAATATACACATGTTATACACCTGTAAGATAATATATATGTTAAACATATGTTTTTCACCACACATGTAAAACACGTATTATATATATGTAATATATGTGTGCGAAAATACAGATGAATTATACATGTTTAATTTAAATAAAATATATGTGTATTCATATACACATGTTATACACATGATAAGCTTTATCTCATATGTGTGTGTACATTAATTCAAAAGAATTTGTAAATGTTAGTAAAATTTTACTCATGTAAAGTTTAACTTTGTTTACCCCCCCCCCCCTTTCCCTTCTAAAAAAAACTTTCACATTTTTTTTCTCTAATAATGCATTTATCAGACAAAATTGATAAGGAATGAATTCATTTTCTTTTCATTTTAAATCTTTTGGGCTTGGCTTACTTCTTGAGTAAAATTCTATTAATTCCGTATTTGTCTCAGGGCCGGTTTTGTCTTTTATCGGATGAAAATGTACGTCATTTTTGACGTCACTGCTGCAACAGACGTGCTGGGTGTATTGGAAAGGTAAGTGATCTCCAAACAATTTTTAAAAGACTTTTAATTCATATTGTTTAAATATCATTTCATATAGTTACAGGTGCGTATGAACTTTCTGTAATACTCTTAATTATCATTGTGACTTGTCATGCATTTCGTAAACCTAACGATAGTGATCTGTAAGTAATTTTGGTGAAAAATGTTTCTGACTGAATGTAAGCATGGGCACTGGAAGTTAATGTAAACATATAGTATGTGTATGTTTAAAAAAGACCCTTCTTTTTTATACATACACATACTATAGATTAGTTAGAATAATCTAACTGTGTCTCGGTACAGGCCCTCACGTTAAACCGGGTCCGTAGGACAATATCATTTTAACGATAGAACATTCTATCTAACTATAGATCTATACATGATATATTAACTTCCAGTGCCCGTGAATGTAAGCGGTTACATGTTAGGCTAAACATGCTAAAGGCATGACTATTTTTTATAATTTGTATACAGGTAAGTAATTTTGGATAAATTTGTTTCTGAATGAATTCAACTCAATACTACAATAATTTTATTCTGTATTATAAAACAGTTTTAATCCAGTGCACTTTTAAAATATGGAAAGTATGAATAGAATTTGCTGGCTTTAAAAGCTATGAAATTGGTACATGTACTGTAAATGACTTCAGGGGGGGGGGGTTATTGAATTTTTTAATTTCAGTTAAAAATTAATAATAACAGTAAAATATCCGCTTCTGTACTGTAATGAAACTGATTATTTTGTAAATATACTGATAAGCTGTAAGGCTTAAAGTGATAATAAAGAAAGAAGAAAGACATCCAACTTTCAAGGTACAAGGTACAAGTACATGTGCATATGTGTTGATTGTTGAAAGTACATCAGCTAGCTAATCCATTGGATATTTACAACTATTATGTACCGGTATTCATTACCTGACATTTATTATTTTTTTCCAACACTAGAGAACATAGTTTCTGGTAAGATGTAAGATATTAATTAAGACTATTAAGAACCTACAAACAAGTACTCTCTCTTTTTTGTAGTTGTAGTTTAATTAAGTTTTAGTTATGCTTAGAAGATATCTACTGCGTGAATATTTGTTTTACAGGTTCAATATACAGTCAGCGTCTCATAAGAATAAATCCCAAGATCCAAGACTTGCTTAAAAGCTTAATTAAGGTAACTACACACTGTTAGATAAACTTTGTTATATTCTTCCCAACAACATTTGGGATATCCTGGAATCATACTGTCTGTTTTTCTGCCTGTCTACTTCTCTGTAGTATTTTTTGTCCAAAAATAAAATATTTGTGTCAGAATCTTATTACTTTTTTGCAATATGAATTAGTAATACTGTTTGTACATTCCAAATTTAATTGTAAAAATAAAAAAAAATGCTTTTTATGACTTTATTATGAAGCATATCTTCCAACAGTGTAATTGTCTTGCTAATTACATCATAGGATTCCACAAAACACCTAGCATAGCATATATAACATTAGTTTTATCTCTTATCATATCTCTGTTGGTGAACTGGTCATACATTTGTTTGCTGAACTTTAATATTACTTGTAGAATTGATTTTGTAATTTAAGAATTGTTTTATTTTTACTTTTGAAATTTTTGTAGAGACCATTCTGTGCCACAAAGAAATTGCTTAGGAAAGGGAGAAATGGTGGATTTGCATTTTGGGTACAGTTCAAAGAGAGTTCAAAATGGTCAAGCTCATGGAAGATCAGAGGGAGGACAACTGAAGAAAACTGAAAGATACAGAAGGAAAAAGAACAAGAAAATATATGAAATAATTATGAAATTGGGAGGATGTACAGAATCTTGTCTGCATTTGACCTGTAAAGATTTAATTCCCATTCTTATTTGTATGCTGTAATATCAAATAACTTGATTTTTCATAAATTTACAATAGAGAATACATGACAAATGTTATATGTGATATTTTAATTTTGCTTTGGACAGTTTCATGTCAAATCATATAAATTATAAAAAAGGACATGGACTAATTATGTTAAAAAAGTTGTGTAAGCATTTTAAGATATTAATTTTCAAATATTTAACCCATGAAGATAGATCATTGGAATGTAATGGATTTTCATCTAAAGCAGAAATATCTGATTTTTAAATGTGTACAAGAATGTGTTTTTCCTTCTGATAAATATTGAAAGAGAACACATGTAACTATTTCATATGATTTACATATGCTGCCCTTTTCATGTGATTCACATATGTGGACAGACATGAAAAAAGTATAAAAATGATAATAAGTACAACAGTAATATTATACACGTATAATTCACATATAAAGTATAACATATATAAAACACATGTTTAACACATGATTCATATGTATAAATATATAATTTGTTTATTTTTACACATGTTAAACACATGTGAAACATATGTTTAACATGTGTAAAAATAAACACCCTATACATATGTGCTCCTTTTATGTGTTTTACATGTGTAAAAAATATATGATAAACACATGTTTAACATATATTCAACACATGTATACATTTTTCCTGTGTACATTGTTTATATTTTTACTTCGGTGTTTAACTTTGGTTGGTAAATTCATCACCCTTTACATTAAATTACTGCTATGTATATACATGTATAGGTAAAATATACATGTTGTATGTCATTTACAATGTTATTGGTTCATGCCCCATTATTCATTGGCATTGCTTGGGAGTGTGTGGATGTTTGTTTTTTCTCAATATTTAAAACAAACCTCATTAGCAAAGCTTTTTCATAGTCCCTCTGCAAAATACTTAATATATCATAAATACAAAATACAGACACATAAAACAGATTACTTAGGAGAAGAAACTCATGATTTCACAAATTTAAAGAAAAGTTGTCTTAGAAAATCTGATTAAATTTAATAAAATTCATAATTGATCTTACTCAGACTGGGGGCAGATAATTTTAGCATCAATATGTTATTCACCTCCGTAAGTCCATGAATGAAATAAGGATCCTGTTGGATCATGACGATCTGTGTCATACAATCGACATTCTTCATCAAGCTTTTTGGACATGTCAATAACTACGATATAAAATGCTCTTCTTGACAGGTAAACCTGGTGACATGCGTAGTACGCCACTTGTCCTGCAAAGTCTGTCATGCTTATTACGTTGTTGTCAAGGTATGGATTTCTACTGTTGTCAGCATTCGCAAAATCTGTTCGAGTACGAAGATAAACTTATTAATTACCGGGTAATATAAAACTAAAAGAGAATTCCTGACAAAAATCTTTGCTAAATATTTCATAAAACTTAAAGATATGTATGCCGTGTTAAACAGTATTTTTGCACAGCTGAAACCAAACAGAAATTTCTGAAGTATGATAAGCTATCAAAAATGAAGCATTCTCGCAAATTCGACGAAATATTATTCGTTATTAACAAAGTACTGGTTGGGAAAAGAACACGATATTCTCATACATATTTATAAAGGCCTGACGTTTATGTTGGATCTGCGCATGTGCGCGGGAAAAGTATCACGAGAATCATCAGGTCGAGGAGACTATTTTTTGTGACGTCTGTTCAGCGAGGAACCAACAAGACTGATAAATCGACCAATCAGCTCAATGAGTTGTATTTAATGCATTTATGGGTTACTACTCGGTACATAAATACTACATGTGTTTTTCGAACAGGCTAGTTTTTTAAATCGCTCTCAGAAAGACGTGGAGCATTTCCCAAGTATTTACACGCTTAATGCATTATGTACATTATCATCTACAAATCCCATCCTAACATTTGCATACAAATGAACAATGATAAAAATAAGAGTTTCCCCACTCTATTGTACAGGTCCGTTTGTTTACAATTTCCCCGTGCTCTACTGACAATGAAAAGACAATTGCACGTAACTATATATTCCTCGGTACAAAAAGCTACTAACTCTGAGGTGTGTTCACGTATTGACAATGTTTACAATGTGTACAACCTCGAAACATACAGTATGCTAACAAGAAAAACTGCATTTGTTTGTTAATGTGAGCATGGGAATTCTCAATTAGTAACTATTCTTCCTTTTTTTCTAAAACAGGTTTTTAAAAAAATGTAAATTGGCTTTCCAGCCGTCATTTTAAATCGCATCGTACAATTCCCTAACCCACGTGTTTGTAGTAAAAACGTAGTAGACCATCATGCTTTTCGGCTCATTCACGAGATTGGACCATTGTTTGCTGTGAGCATGCGAGACCACGTGTTCATGAATATTTCAATAAGAGGCGGTTTAATATCCGATTCGGAGAGAAAATAATTTTTACAAAATAATATTTCATAACTTTTAAAAGTGATGGAGTGGAATTGTCTTAATTGCAGAAATTACATAACTTATGTAACTTGATGAGACACCACATATATTTATTTCTTTAGCAATAAAACACTAATACGGCATATATATCTTTAACATTATAATTACATGTACATTAGCAATCCAATACCTTGATAACCTTCATGGTGTTTAAATGCAATGCTTTTGCTATATTTAATGTAGTCATCTTTTTACTGTGTATACATTAGTTTTAAACATGCTGAACAATTTTCTAAGAAATTCACCATACCTATCCTGATATTGGAACTTTTCAACAAATGAGAAACATAAGCGGAATTAATCAAAAGGATTAGAAACTCGAACTTCAGTTTGATTAAATAAGTATATACTCTAAAACATAGCATATACACTGTTTGAAAAATAGAGAATATTACATACTTAAATCCATATCATATGTCATATCAGCCCGAGTGGCACCATATCAGCCCGAGGGCCGAAGGCCAGAGGGTTGATAAGGGGCCCGAGGGCTGATGTGACATATGATATGGATTTTAGTATGTAGTATTCTATTTATCATACATTTAAAATACTTAATATGCGAGGTTTCATGCTTGTTTATGGCATTTTTATTTAAAATGTAATAGAACCAATTTTAGGTAAATGACAAAAAAATTAAGACTACAAAAGTCATTGAAGAATTATTTTATATGAATATTTAAATAAAATCAAGTAAATTAACTTTTAAAATTGATACAAACGTGACTTTCGGTTTAATAATGATTTTCGGCCCGCCGGTCTGATACGTGATATGGATTTTCGGACCGGTCCGTGATATGGGGTATTGTGACGTCACCCATATCACACCGTGCAGAATTGGTGTATTTATCACTAAGTATATGATAAAGGAAAATATCACCTGTTAACTTGTTTTCCTTAATAGCAAACAAATCTTCATGAACCTCAAGGCCGATAGTTGTCTCAGTTGGTTCATCTTCATCTGTTATACCTCTTCCGTGAAGTTTTCGTAAAAGAGTTGTTTTTCCGGCACCTGCACATCCAACTATCATGCCTCTGGCGCGAAACATTTGTACGCTTCCTAGCTTGGAGTTCTTCACAAACCTTTCTCTAGCATGGATATCCCAACTTAATACTTCTTTGGGTATATTTACTAAATGATGCAAATAATGAACACAATTAATTTACTCATCAATGATGAAAAATAACTCTTATTAACGAAATATAAAGTACTATCTTAATAAAACTTCAAATATTCAACTTTAATTTATAACGTTTCAAATGAATTTTGGGTTTAAGGCGAGTCATATGCCTAGGCAAGGGCAGAAAAAATATTAATTTAGAAATTCTGATAAATTTCGCTTTTGTTAAATTTGGGATTTATTTATAACCATATTCGACTGTATATACAGTTATGATAAAACCTGAATCAAATGACTTAGAAATTGATTTTAATTAACCCACCAAAATGGTAACACGCTTTAGTAACCGTAAAAATATTAGAAATTGAATGTTAAATTTGTATTTTCATATAGAGTGGGTCTTTGTACCAATTTTTGTATACAAATATTGAAAGGGTATGGGAGGATGTATCTCTCTTCATTTAAAAAAAAAGGTAAGAAGACCCACTCTATATGAAAAAGTTAGTTTACCTATTTAAATTTCGGAACATATTCTCAAAAACTCCAAGTATAATTAGGGGGTTGCTATACATATAGAACTGTTTGTAATTTAAAGAGCAACGTATCTGAGACTTCGTAGCTCACTGGTCATAGCGGCGGTGCTGAAGCACGCATCACTTGTCGCGAGTATTCGGACCACAGCTTTTTTAAGTTTAGGTTGAAATTTATAGATACATATATTTTTTTCAATAAAACAAAATGAATAAATAAGATAATGAATTTATATATAGTCCATTAATATATTTCCCATAATAAACAAGTTTTCGAGATACATGTATATAACAATTTGAATGCATTTAGTTCAAGACTACACCGGTATTACACAATTGAAATGAAAACAACCATTGGTATACCGGAACGATATGACTGTACTGTATACAAAAACAGTTAACAAGAAATGTATAATCATCTCCTAACGCCTGAAAACATATTTGATATAACAATTAACACGCAGTATGAAAAGATCACATATGTTAAAATAATGTCACGATAACCTCAAGATTTAAAGAAATATAGATATTGTCATTTGGACATTGCTGTACAAAGTTTAAATGTTAAGGTTAATCGTACGACTATGAAATGTTCGATATGCTTACAAAGCGAGAAAATCCTTGTGGGCATATGACTCGCCTAATCCCCCAGATTCTTTGGAATTTTAAATATTTGTGCATTATATACATGCACTGTCTACGTTCTTGTTTTATATTATCGTATTTGAATACTACAAATCTGACCTTATTATATGAATGTGTATTTTGAAGTCATAGAAGAACATTTGTTCAAAAACATGCTACAATGTCTGTTTGGTTGACAGGTTGACAAGTAGAACTGTTGACATCAATATTACTGTGAAGTTCGAAGTCATTGAAGTGCATTTGTTGATAAATATATTTGTTTTATATCTGGCTGACAGGTCGACACGTTGACATTATTATTATTGGACATTATTATTATTGCAAAGTTCGAAGTCATAAAAGTATATTTGTTAATGTATTGTTGATAAGTTGACAGGTATTATAAATGTGTATTTCGAAGTCATAGAAGATCTCGTTAATATTTAAGATGTATTCATGGGTTTAATGTAATAATACTAAATTATTATAATAAATGAAAATGTTTGTGAATATTCATTAAAAAGTAATTTGCATTTTATTATTTTGTACATATTTTAAAGGTAATTGACACAGATTTGAAGTTATTGTTTTCTCTATAATATGACGACTTATATATTTTAATAGCATTTCACACAAACATTAATTAAAAATCTTATTTCATATAAAAGATATTAAAATTTCAAATTTTTTGGCGGGTTTGATAAACACATCCTTGCTCTTTCACAAATGAATTCTATTCTTAATCCTTTGGAAAAGTAGCAATTTCATTGTGTAAAAATGAAAAATATGTCATTGAATACTATAATCCAGAAAATCCAGAAGGAGTTTGTTTCTAACTTTTCTATTCTGAATAAAATTATTTTTCTGGATAAAAGTTTTAATATTTCTCATTAATACACAACAAGATTGCAATGTTGCAACCACTATTGAAATGACGACCACTATTGAAACAATTATATAAATAGTGGTTAGGAGTGCATTTCAATAAGAAACATCGTTAGTAACCACTATTGAAATACGACCACGATTGAAATAATTATGTCAATAGTGGTTGAGAGTGCATTTCAATAGCAAACATAGTTAGTTACCACTATTGAAATACGACCACTATTGAAATAATTATATCAATAGTGGTTGAGAGTGCATTTCAATAACAAACATAGGTAATAACCAATATTAATCGTAATACGACCACTATTGAAATAATGATATCAATAGTGGTTGAGAGTGCATTTCAATAACAACCATAAATAGTGACCACTATTGAAATACGACCACTATTGAAATAATTATTTCAATAGTGGGTGAGAGTGCATTACAATATGGTAACCATAGGTTTCAAACACAATTGAAATACGGGCACTACTCAAACATAGGTAATAACCACTATTGAAATACGACCACTATTGAAATAATCAATAGTGGTTGAAAGTGCATTTCAATAACAAACATAAATAGTGACCACTATTGAAATAAATAAGTGTTTGTTTTCCCTAGAATTAGCTTTGTGTGAATTAGAATACGATTAAAGGTGTGAAATCTGTCGGTGTGTATAGCTAATAAAACAATGGGGGTGTGACGTATTTGTTTACCTGACAGGTACCCACAGGTAGAGCCCGCGGCAGATGGCGCTGTCATTGAATGGTCGGTGAACCTTATGGTCATGTGTTAGCTTTACATATCAATAGATTTAAATTTCTTGAATTAATAAATCATGCTAAGGAACAAAATATCCATGCGTACACTTCAAAACTGCGACATTTATATTAATTATAATCATATAGTCTTTATTTGAAAATTTAAAGCTAAATATGGCGTATCTGAGTTAAAAATTATAAATACTAGATTAAGCGTATATTTACATGAGAGTTGATATTTATATTTAAATTAAAATTTTCACCGATATTGAACTTAAATATCCCCTATTAGTTAAATTCAAGCTAATTGAATTAAAACTGTGTCTGATATTTAAATTCCGAATCGATAAGAATCGGTCATTGTTTTAAATCTCTGATATCTATATATAAAACGCAAATTTTGATTTAAATTTCGGTAATTGAAAATTTTAAAGAATAAAATTATAGACATAAGTTCAAGGCAGTATTTGGCATTTGATTTATCGAACATTAAATGTGAGGAAAAAATTGCATGCTCATTATTTGTAGTCTGTTAAATAGACTTGGTGCTTCATGTACAGATGTATTATACAGATTTTTATATTAAAACTGTGGTGTTTAATAATTTTTTTTTCAAAATTCCTTTTCTACGTCCATGTACCCGGTAAACATTACATTGCCGGAGAGGTACCTATAAAAAATTCCGGAAATAAAAAAAGATAAATCAAATGTCGGGAAAAAAGAGTAATTGTCGGAAATAAAACAAGTTTATCTTATAAAAAAGATAAGTGAGCTAGCGCCGTAGCAATTTTTAAACACAGAAAGGAAAGTCCGTGTTCAACTGATTTATTTTGCTGAATATTTAATTTTTCCGAGACTGGAGTGTGATCAAGTTATAATTGTTTTGTGAAGTGAGTTTTATAGACATATAGGTAAATAAACGAGGGGGGGGGGGTGGACCTATTGGAGCTTTGGCGCAACGGAACATTAATGACCTTTACTGGAGAGGAAGGATATGGAAATAAAAAACAGTATTCAATCTCAACGTCCATTAAACAAATATACAAAATAAGAGCAGAGCAAACACGGACCTCCGAAACATCAGAGGGGGGAGACTCTATATAATATGGCAAAGATGCAGATTGACGCATTGTATGAGCTGGTTTAGAATAGAATTTCGTGGCAATGCAGCATATTATATAAAGAAATCCAGAGAGTTCCGAATGTGAAGATGTTAAGAAGCCACGATTGGTGAAGAAGCTTGGTCCTTTGTCAAGAACTGTTAAGTGTTAGTAACTATGAATTATTTTCTATTACTAGTATAACCGAAAATTATGTTATATTATAACCGACTTGAAGGTTTCTGCGAAAAGTTGTTTATAATTATTTATCTCACGCCTGTTTTATAGGGTAATTTCTGGACAGGGTTTATTTTCGTAGCTTATAAACTAGAGAAAGAGACAAGGCGGCGGACCTTAAAACGCAGTTATCAGAAAAGGTCCGCCCTCTGTATTTCAGATATATTCATGTCATAAAGAGAAGTTTTGGACAGGGTTTATTTTCGGAGGTTGAAAACTAGAAAAATAGACAGGGCGGACCTTAAAACGCAGTTATCAGAAAAGGCCCGACCTTTGTATTTCAGATACCTTCATGTTTTATAGGGACATTTCTGGACAGGGTTTATTTTCGTATAGCTTAAAAACTAGAGAAGGAGACAGGGCGGACCTTAAAACGCAGTTATCAGAAAAGGTCCTCCCTTCGTATTTCAGATATCTTCATTTTTTTATAGGGTGATTTCTGGACAGAGTTTATTTTCGTATGGCTTAGAAACTAGAGAAAGAGACAAGGCGGACCTTAAAACGCAGTTATCAGAAAAGGTCCGCCCTTTGTATTTCTGATATCTTCATTTTTTATAGGGAAATTTTTGGACAGGATTTATCTTCGTATAGCTTAGAAATTAAAGAAAGAGACAGGGTGGACCTTAAAACGCAGTTATCAGAAAAGGTCCGCCCTTTGTATTTCAGATATCCTCATGTTATCAAAAAAATAATAATTTTTGGAGATGGTTTATTTTCGTAGCTTAAAATTTAGAGAAAGGGACAGGGCGGACCTTAAAACGCAGTTATCAGAAAAGGTCCGCCCTCTGTATTTCAGATACCTTCATGTTTTATAGGGTAATTTCTGGACAGGGATTATTTTCGTATAGCTTAAAAACTAGAGAAAGAGACAGGGCGG